TTAAAGATCATTTTGTTCCGCCCCTGCCATGGCAGGGACACCTCCCTTGGGCACTGCCAGGGATCCAGGGACAGCCCCAGCTGTGCCAGGGCCTGCCCACCCTCACAGGGAGGAAATTTTTCCTAATATCTGATCTAAACCTGTAATTTTTCACTTGGAAGCCATTCCCTGTGTCCTGTCCCTCCATCCCTGGAAATTGTCTCTCTCCACCTTTCCTGGGGCTCCTCCAGGCCCTGCCAGGCCACCCTGAGCTCAGCCCAAAGCTTCTCCTGTGCAGGTGAACAATCCCAGCTCTCCCCTCCCTTGTTTTGGAGGCCTCTGCTCTGATACTGAATAACCAAAAATAATAGAAAGAAATTAAATATCCCAGCTCACATAGGAGAAAAACCTAATCCAACCACACTTTGCTCACCAAGGGAAAAATGATGGTCCTGGAGCTTTCCCACCCCATCCCTTTTTTTCTCCTGTGAAAACATGACCCTGAAAAGATGAGCCCTGAAAGTTAGAAGGTGATGGCAACAGACAAATGAGAGAGGCTTCAGTTTGAGGTTTATTTTCCTCATATCCACCACAAACCTCAACAATTCCATCCTCCATGGATAGCACACGTTTGGGAGGGAAAGTGGAAGCAGGAGAAGAGGAGAATATCCATGAGGAAACTGAGCTACATCCACAGGTGAAACACATTAAATCCTGTTTGACACAGCCCCCTCCTCCAACTATTCCCAAGGGGAGCAGCTGGATCCAGGCCCTGTGTGAAAAACCTGTTGGGAATTCCAGAGGGAAGCAGGGAAAAGGGATCCTGGGTGTTAAACCTGAGACTCTGCCAGGCAGAAAGTGTTCCTGTTGGAACTCAAAATGTCCCTCAGACATTTTGGATGTTCCGGGCCCAGGTCAGAAGCATTTGAGACCCTGGCAGGCAGCTGCAAACAGCTGGGAATTTGGGTTTGAGCCATGGAACAATTTACCAACCTTGCAAGAAGAACAAGAAGTCACAGAAGTTTACATATTAGAGTAGAAGTAGTCACAAAGTAGAGGGAAGAATTTTTGAGTGCTGTACAGGGGGTTTTGGTTTTGTCCATGGGGGTCAGAGGTTTTAAGATGGATTTGGGATTTGGGCCTGCCCTGTCCTCCCTCTTTCTCCTTCCTCACCTCCATGTTCTTGGTGATGTTGGCACTCACAGATTGGTTTAGAGTAGAAAGGCACCATTTAATATAGGTAATAGGCATTGGGGAAAAACTGTAACCATGTAACACGTAATGTACCATATAAAAGATAGAAAAGCACCATTTAATATAGGTAATAGGCATTGGGGAAAAACTGTAAACATGTAACACGTAATGTACCAGATAAAAGACAGCAGCAGCCCTGGGTAGGGGCAGAGGAAGAGGAGGAGGAGGAGAAGGAGGAGGAGGAGGAGGAGAAGAAGAAGAAGAAGAAGAAGAAGAAGAAGAAGAAGAGGAGAAGGAGTCAGAGAGGATGTCAGGGTGTGTGTGTGCCTCTGCCTGAGCTGTGAGCAAACCACAGCATCTTGAGAAGAAAAACTTTTAGATAACTCGCAATAAACTGCCTTAAGACTAGATGACTGAAGACTATTGAGCTTTTCCTTGGAAGCACGGGTTGGAGGAGAGACTTTTCCACCCCACGGAGCCACCCCTGACCCAGGGTGAGCTCCGGCATGTTCCCAAGAAGCTGAAGTATGCGAGGCTGCCACCGATACCAACACCCACATCTGCTCTGCTGAGCAGCCACCATAAAATTTGGGTTTTTTTATAGGAACGGAGCCGTGAGCAGGAGAAACCCAGTGTGGTTTGCTCTGCAAATCAGGGAGAGAAGCGATGGGGGGGATGTGAGGGGTTGGATCCTTCACCTGAGCTGACCTGGAATTGCTCCAGCCAGGGGAAGGAGCTGGGTGGTGCTTCCAGTTTCTTTTTGCTTTGTAGAGTACATAATCATTTGTTGATTTTTAGTATTAAAATCAGGAGGGTTTAGTATGGTTAGATTGGGGTTTTGGGGAGAAAATCTTCCCTGTGAGGAAGGCACAGGTTGCCCACAGAATTTTGGGGCTGCTCCATCCCTGGAAGCATCCAAGACCAGCTTGGACTGGGCTTGGAGCAACCTGGGAGAATGGAAGGTGTCCCTGCCCATGGTCTGGGTTGGAATTAAATGATCTTTAAGGTCTTTTCCAAGCCAAAGCAACCCCTGATTCTATGATTGTCAAAAATACCCCAAACCCAGCAGATTGGTAATAATTCCACTAAAGCAGAGACCTCCCAAGCCCTGGGAATAAAGGAAAGTTCCAAGAGTTGCCTGAGTGATAACCTGCTCTCAGAAATAAATCCCAAAATAAGAACTTCTCCCAATTCCCTGTACCTATTCCTCTCCAAAATCCCAGCAGAGAACCTCGACTGTGCCCATTTCCTTCTGGCTGGGAGAAGAGAGGAAAATCTCTGTTAGGAACAGCACCTGCTAATACCAACACTGTCCCACTTTTTTGGGTCCATCTCCCCGTGAATCTGCATTTTGATAGTGCTCAGTGACCTGGCCCACTGCCCAAATTACATCAGGGACAAACTCAGCTCTGGGGGGTGCCAGATACAATTCCAAGCTGGATGACTCCGTTTCATCTGAGCCTGGGAGGAAATCAGACTCCTGAGTGAGCCTTTTGCATGTTTTCATTCCAACAAAACCCCTTGGAGAACCACCAGCCATGGAAACACCTCCAAGGCAGCCTGTCCTAGGAAAACCTCAGCACTCAGAGGTAATTTTGGGGGGATGAAGCACTTTGCAAAGCTCTCTTTGCTGCTGCCTTCCTGGGAAAGATCAAAGGAAGGTTTTGACAGCATTTCTCTCTCTCTCCAGCACACTCATGGACAAATCCATTGGGAAATGCACCAGGAACAAGGCCTGGCTTTGCAAGACAAACAGTGGTTCTGCAGGTTGAAGAAAACAAAACCATTGAGCTGTGCTGACGCTGGGAAGACACAGGATGGCCTCTTTAAAACCTGCCAGGCTTCCCAAAATCCAAACATCCATTGGGAAGCTGCTCATTTCACTCCTTAAAGACTCTCATGTGCCAAAGATTCAAGGATCCCCAAGGAGAGCCACAAAAACATGGAAGCACAGTAGGGCCATGAGCCCATGTAGGCCACAGGGTGGAGGTGGCAAATGCATGGAGGATTAGAATGGACATCTTAAAACATCCCCAAATTCCCAAACTCAAACATCCAGGCTTCCCAAAATCGAAGCATACATTGAGAAACCCCTCTTTTCACCCCTCAAAAGCTCTCACATGTCAA